TACAAAAGATTCAAATGAATAGTATTATATCAAAATCATTCAGAGCGGAATTTTAGTGAACGGCAATGTGAGCCCAGCTCCGGGTTGTCCTGATCAAAGAGCTCTGTACACTGCATGACGCTTTTCTATCTGTTATTTTGCCTTGGACACACTAAATCCCTCAACAGGCCAACACGTCTGAAATTACAGTCCGTTCTCCCAACTATGTCCAGTAGCACGTAATGTGAACAGCTACAACAAAACACACATCTACCATATCTGTTAATGCAGAACACGAAAACTGATACTCGCATCAACAGGGTTTAATGTATTAATATTTGAGAAATTACAGTTCATAATAAGTGGCTGCTGCTGAGGATTTGATGAATATTATTGCGTTCACTTGAAGAGTAAAGTTGCTGATGAGCTGATGAGGTTCAGAAAAATATGTGTCTTTACATAGTTCAGCTTACAGTCAGCTGGGTGACAACCAGGCAGCATGGAGGTCCAATACACACTGGCAAGCATGTGCTCCAAAATGCATGAGCTTTGGAGAGGTCATGATGTGACCTGTGAGCTTTGACATCACACATGAAGGTTAAGGCCACAGGGTAATGGAAATTTACTGGGCCACATTGTTTACACTTTTGACTGATAAGGATTTAAATGGAAATGAACTTTAGATTTTAATTAAGTGTTTTAATTATTGGACCACCATGGATAAAATACTTAAAACCAATTGTCACAACTTAGTAAACAATTTCATTTGAAAGAATTTGTACATTGAAATGTATGTAAAGAATTCTTGCATTTACAATATCATCTAGCACATACCACAAGTATATCTACAGAAATATCACACCAGTGAAATTCACTCTTTAGTATTCTAAATTCTTAAAGGGTATTTTAGATTAGATCGATGAATCACAATGGATCATTGTCCACGGATGATTAGCAATGCTTAGAATCATCATCAACAGACAGACACGTCTGAAATTACAATCCGTTCTCCCAACCACAATCTTCAAAAAGGTGGGGAACCTTGAACTTTTAATTTGATAGGAAGTTTAAGCGTTAACAAACTTTTCCCAAGACAGACATCTTATGAACGCACCTCCATATTTCTTTATCACCACCTCTAAAAGCACAGTAGCCCTGAACACGTGAATGGGGTGTCATTCTTGATTTTGACGGTTTTCACTGTAATCACTGTAGACCATTAATTTTGACAATCATCTTGAATCACACAGTTGTTAGTGTTTGTTTCCAGCAGGGTGTTTTTGTTTGAAAGTGAAAATCGTACACATGCAAAATGCACGTCAGACGCCAATCATCTTTCAAGAGCGATTACTGTACAAACAACTATGGTCAGAGGGACATTCATGATTATCACTGATACGATAATAGACTCCGATCTGTCACTTTTTCAATCGTAAATAAAATGAACTTGCCCCTACCCTTTATAAGAGCATATGGCCAGCAGCATATTTATGAGGAGCTACAACGAAAACACATATCTACCTTATCATCCAGCACATACCGTCATACCACAAGCATTATTACAGTACTATCACAGCACAGAAAATTCACTCTTTAGCATTCTAAAATTTTAAAGGGTATTATAGATTAGATTGATGAATCACAATGGATATCTTTTTCGGATGTTTAGCAATGCCTAGAATTCTTGTTTTAGTGGTTGTATGTTCCCAAAGTGCTTGAAAGATGATAATTATCCTCATGTTTTCCTCTACAAAGGTGTTTTCTGTTCACAGTCCTAGCAGAAAACAAAAAAACTACTGCAATATTGATGAGCTGAACATAAGGCACAATAATAGGATTCAGGGACTATAAGACAGAATCGCTCCATTGTCAAGGTGCAGGGCGACTAATGCTAAGTGTTGTATCTGATAATGTTTTACCCTTTAGGTATTCTGGTGTTAGAATAGGTCTCCAGTAATCCGAGCCATTTGATCAGCTGGTCAGACATGCTGACATGCTTCACTGTGGTATTATACCCCAACAGTGTGGATCAGCTGGATCAGCTGATCAGCTGGTCAGACATGCTGACATGGTTCACTGTGGTATCGTACCCCGACAATGTGGATCATTGCGACATGGTCCACTGTGATATCGTACCCCGACAGTGTTGATCAGCTGGTCAGACACGCTGACATGGTCCACTGTGATATCGTACCCCGACAGTGTGGGATCAGATGGCCAGGCACATTGACATGGTCCACTGTGACATTATACCCGACGAGTGTGGATCAGCTGGTCAGACCGACGCTGCCATGGTCCACTGTTGTATCGTACCCCGACAGTGTGGATCAGCTGGTCAGACATGCTGACATGGTTCACTGTGGTATCGTACCCCGACAATGTGGATCATTGCTGACATGGTTCACTGTGGTATCGTGCCCCGACAGTGTGGATCAGCTGGTCAGAACCATTGGCATGGTCCAGTGGTATTATTGTACCCCGACAATGTGGATCAGCTGGTCAGAACCATTGACATGGTCCACTGTGGTATGATTCCCCGACAGTGTGGATCAGCTGGTCAGACACGCTGACATTGTTCACTGTGGTACCGTACCCCGACAGTGTGGATCATTGCTGACATTGTTCACTGTGGTACCGTACCCCGACAGTGTGGATCATTGCTGACATGGTTCCCCGACAGTGTGGATCATTGCTGACATGGTACCCCGACAGTGTGGATCAGCTGGTCAGACACGCTGTCATGGTCCACTGTAATATCGTACCCCGACAGTTTGATCATTGCTGACATGGTTCACTGTGGTTCCATACCCGACAGTGTGGATCAGCTGGTCAGACACGCTGTCATGGTTCACTGTGATATCGTACCCCGACAGTGTGGATCAGCTGGTCAGACACGCTGACATGGTCCACTGTGATATCGTACCCCGACAGTGTGGATCAGCTGGTCAGACACGCTGACATGGTTCACTGTCGGGTTTTATATACCCCGACAGTGTGGATCATTGCTGACATGGTTCACTGTTGTATCGTACCCCGACAGTGTGGATCAGCTGGTCAGACATGCTGACATTGCCCACTGTGGTGGTATCGTATCCCGACAGTGTGGATCAGGTGGTAAGACATGCTGACATGGTCCACTGTGATATCGTATCCCGACAGTGTGGATCAGGTGGTCAGACACACTGACATGGTCCACTGTGATATCGTACCGCGACAGTGTGGATCAGCTGGTCAGACACACTGACATGGTCCACTGTGATATCATTACCCCGACAGTGTGGATCAGCTGGTCAGACATGCTGACATGGTCCACTGTGATATCGTATCCCGTCAGTGTGGATCAGCTGGTAAGACATGCTGACATGTTCCACTGTGATATCGTATCCTGACAGTGTGGATCTGGTGGACAGACACGCTGACATGGTCCACTGTGTTATCGTACCCCGACAGTGTGGATCAGGTGGTCAGACATGCTGACATGGTCCACTGTGATATCGTATCCCGACAGTGTGGATCAGCTGGTCAGACATGCTGACATGGCCCACTGTGATATCGTATCGCGACAGTGTGGATCTGGTGGTCAGCCACGCTGACATGGTCCACTATTGGTATCATAACCCGACAATATGGACCATTGCTGACAATATCAACCTCTGGTTTGTCTTACCCAAGACGTTCTATTTACTGGCCACAAAACGGTTATGGCCCGGAAAAGGAAATCTGGACTAAACCCCTCAATCTAGGTGTCGCTTTCTCGGGAACGGTCAGGCTACAGTGAACTTTGAATTTAGCGTTCCCAGAACTCTCAATATACAAGAAAAACAAAGAAATGTGAGTCGTCGTCTGATACCGTAGTCATGGTAGAAATTTAATAAATAAATAAATACGTTTAACACTAGCAAGTCATGGTGAAGCATACATATTATTTTCTAGCATGTGTGATAAAACATTGTGAATTATAACTGACATTTTATTTCGATGTACATTGAAAGCAAGTTTACACCAAACTGAAATTATTTACTTTTTAATAAATACAGGGATAGGAATTCGCCCAGTCTCTCCGTAGAGCATGTAGGATGGTGTAATCTTGTGTAGTTTTCAGGACAGATTTCATGAATAGCCTGTGAACATTTTCTAAAATATCTATATTTGAATGTCCCCACATCTTGCAACCACGTAACATGATTGGTAGGATCATGCAGCCAAAACACATTTACACAATAATAAGAATGATAAGAATGCGGAGATTTCTAGCCTTTGAAAATGTCATAGCACTAAATTCCAAAGCACGTAATTCGTTATTCACATTACATAGTTTATGATTTATGATACATATCAACTTCCCTCAGGTAGTTCACTATGAGAGGGGGTGAGAACAGATATCGGTGGTACATGAGTATAACAAAAGGAGTACATACAAAATGTACAACAAGCTGATGACTAAATGATACATCAATTAAAGTGTTTACAAACAATCTTAATGAACTTGTATACATTTAAAGAGTAGATATTTTCCTTGAAAAACGTTGACGGAACTTTGAGAAATTTGGCCAGGAACATTAAGATTCTTTTAACAATGATCATAATTATTTATATGAATTAATAAAACTATATAGTTAGGTAGGGTCACGTACGTGCTGAAACTTGAAACAATTGAAACTTCATCTCAGTTAAGAGGCTCACAGATCGAGTATTGGGGTCGCGCGCTAATCTGAAGTACGCTTAGCCGATGTTTTCATAACAATTCTCTATCGCGGCCCTTCTAGCACAACTTTGGTTTTCGCTTTACCGGGAATAGGGAATATTGAAATTTCGCTTTCCTGGGCCGACACTCACGAAACAAAGCATCAGCATTACTCGGAACAATAAAAAGATTGTTATTTTTTTCACTACTAGTTCATCGACAGTATGTATAGTATCAGATTTAACATGTCTTTTGGGGAAAAAACCCGAACATGACAATAAAACAAATGAGTATTATTTTACAGTGAAAGTCATCTGATAACAAGTCAGGATGTATCCTGTGGCATCTGGAGGGATGCCATCCTCGACAACTATGACACATCAGCACTTTGTGTCAGAGCCAATGGGATATAAGCTTGTGACTGAACTACCAGGGATAGGACCAGCTCTTGGACACAGACTCAGCGAGGCGGGGTTTCCAAGGGTGAGATTACACTTTACGATGTCTTACATTTCAGTAGACTGAAGAACCAAACAAAACTGACATTGATGTCCAAGATATTTTTATGGATTAAACTTCTTTTCAATTTCTCTCACGACGTTTCGAGACCATTCCAGGTCCCTTCATCAGGTGAACTGGCAGTTAGGACTATGACGTCGTCACTATGACGTCATAACTTAGTTATGACGTCACAGTGCAAGTGACATCACAGTACTCTAGGGAGAGTATTGTATAAGTGAGTTTGAAGAGTTATTTACTTAAGAATTGAATGTCAGTTTGTGTGTTGCACTGAAAAATGAACGATGTCAAATCGGTGTTCAAACTCGTGTGAACGAGCGAGTTTACGAGCGAGTTCACGCGAGAGTTTGAACAACGCTTTGACATCGTTCATTTTTCAGTGCAAAACTACAAACTGACATTCAATTCTTATAATTCACACTTTGAAGTTTACACATACGTTTTGCATCCACTTGTAGATGATCATTGTTTAGTGTGTTTTAATACCTGTAAAAATGTTGTAATGCCATTCGGTTCAAGAACGTTCGTATTGCAGCGATGTTTGTATACACAGCGATTTTTTTTTACACATGTATCCCAACGCTTGAAGAAATAGTTCTCAAAGTATTCGATCTTTAAAATATAACAACAAATTCGTTATGAGGTTTGAAACTGCTTTAATAAGTATAATCAATAACAGTATCAAACAGAAACAAATATCAGAAACAATAACAATACCATTTTAATAAACTGGCATTGTACCTTTTCACTTGTAAATACCTTGTTTGACCGCGTAATAATACACTGACCGACTTCGAAGTTGTGCCGCGTGGCGAATAGGAAACAGATCTTGTTGTATTCTATTTATTTGTGATTGTTTATTGTGAAATTTATTGAGCAGTTGTTAGACAGACCTCAGGGGCAGAAAACCGCCGGATGAACCCGCAAACTGCGAGACATTAAACTCTCGTAAAAGGAACAATGTTCGGCAATCCGTTTGGTAGTGACATTGCCAAACTTGGGGTGACTTGAAACAGGTTCGTTCGCGAAAATTGGTATCACCAATTATTAGGGGGTCCTTGAAACCGAAGCGAAAACGTTCACACATATGAACGGTGTTTACACACACACGTATGAACGATTAGAGGGTTCAAGAGTAATGAACCTTGAAATTTAGATCACATGACTGCTCTCAACCATTAAAACATTTATCTGTATCTGTAGGGATAAATATGTTTAAAGGCAAGAGTTATTGTGACACTCAAACAACAAACATAATCAGCATTAAACTGGTACTGCCGCAAATAAAATCTTGTGACATGAAAGACAGGCGTTTCGAGTTATTGCAACATTCAACAGAAGAACAATGTACCTGGCACATGCAAATAAGTCACAACACAAATGGCCGTTCACAAGCAAGGTCACATGGTCAGTAACAAGTAATGAGTGTGTCCGCCATGTGCATGGATGCAGATCTGGCTTCTTCACCTGATCGAGGCTAGTTGACGTCGTTGAAATTCAATAGGAGTTCCCGCAGCATTGTTGGAGAATTTGGATAATGTCAAAAATGTGGCTCCATTTCATCCCAGATGTGTCCATTGTGACAGACAAATGAGATGATATTGTCTGTCAAGGTAACACATTAACATTTTAAAATGTGACGGTGAAGAGAACCCTCCTCATCTCACATGCTACCCACAGCAAGCTTGGATCTCTGCTCCTCTGGAGACTTAAACGTCAATAGTCTGGCGTCAGAATTTACCATCTGCTATAGCAGGGCATCTTGCACAGGTAACGTAGACGTCATCAAACTGTTCTCGCAGATGTACCAATGTTGCCAGGCATGATGCAGACTGTAAAGGTTGCTGGCTAGAAACTGTGTTGGAGATGCATGGTTGGAATCCACTGTTCTTAATGTGGGGCTGTTACTGTGGCTGACCACTCCAGGGACGGTGTATATCTTGATTGTTGTGCTGAAAACATCATCACCATATGTGCCAAATGGTGTTTCCATTGACGTTGAAATGATGAGCAGCATCACGCTGCAAGGTCCCAGATGAAGCATACCTGTAGTCTTTACCTTCAAGGCGTAGCATGTTGACTTGTTCCAGAATGATGCACTTCTTAAAGACTTCACCGAGTGGAAATGATAAGCGTCGGATCGTCTGGCCTTTTAAAGTGAATATTGCTGGCCATTTCTTTTTTCAGAAATATATATATTTCTGTTGCTGTGAATTAATTATGTAGCATCAATGACTATTGATAAATATACGTGAGTAAGGATAAGTAAAGAATGATATTATTACTCATAATGGGTATGCATGCTAAACTGCAGCATGCTCTCTCTCAGTTGGTAGCACTAAAATCTGTTGATAATCTGTTACTTGAAAGCAACATTACACTCCTTTTCACCTCTCATCCCAAACAATTTACTGTTTATTGTTTTCCAGGCGCGCAATGTTTTTGGCCAGTTCCTGAAGTTGGACGACGATGAGACACGTTTCGTAAACTGGCTGAAGGGACACATGTTCTGCTGATGCCAAACAGGCGGGGAATGCTACATGGGTCTGAAAACCTGGGTGACAATCACATGTGATTATCACTTGCCTGCCCAGTCATATCATGCCACCCGTACTCGTGCACACTCTCGCTTTGTTCTTCTTAGCCCCAAGTTGCACAACACAATTCTCTTCTCTCAGGACATTTATTTGTGTGGTGACATGGTTTGTTTGGCCTGGACAAAGTTGCAGGAAAGGATGTTAATATGCTTGTCATGAATAACATTCATTATCAAAGTACAGCCTATGTATCCGTCTTGTTCGTTATGCTTTGGTCGGGTTAAACACACCATAACATTCATCACTTTAAAACAGCTTGGACCCAGACCTTACTTCAATAGTAGTTTATCTAATTTATGCTATTCAACGGGCCATTGGACATTTCACTTGGAAGAACCCTAATTCCTTAACATTTTTACATTAATAATAAAACTACCTTTTGCTCTCAGACTGCCATCTGGCACAGGTGACACATACTTGTTTGTTGGACTTTGTTTGAAAAGTTGTACATGACCTGACTGAGCAGTTATTAATCCCAAGGCAAGAAACTAGAGAAAAGCTTTCTATGGGAAAATGTAAGCTGAAATGCAATAATTGTTTGTGTCGTTATTAGCTAAAGCAAACCGATCTGACAAGTAGTCAGATCTGACATCTAGTCAATGTAAGTTTTTTTCATTTTACGTTGTGGCAATATTCAATAAATTCTTATCATTATATCTGTGTTGTTTTCACTGTATTTTGAGTACATGGAGAGAGAGTCAAGCATTCAAATGTGTCTTTTGTGGTTATATAACATCAGCATCTCAAGTAAATGTTCTGAAGCTGATACCTGTTGTCCTCTAGAAGATCCGGGTTAGGGTTTTCAGAAGCTTGTTAGGAGGCAACTTGTGGGATCATGTGGTCAGCTTTACTGACTGTGTTTATCCATGCCATTAGATGCCACTTGCACAGATCAATGCTCATGCTGCCAGCCATTCGTCAAGTGTTCATTTTACAGACTGACATCACAAACCTGTAATACTGATACAATTTCGGCCATTACAAATAAAAAACTACTGTTGTATAGATGTTTCCATGACAGTTTTGATGGATAATACATTTTATATTTATTAGGAAAATACTTTTTATATTTATTAGGATAACGAAGCTGTTATCCACTAAAAAATCAATTTTGTTTGTTTTCCAAATTGCCTTTCAATGACTTGGATGTGGCTCTTCATAAGATCAAGACCCTAACCCTAACCCTATATACGTCTTTCATAAGACAAAGCAGGGTATATGTTGCCATGTTGAGTTGTGTCCCTTTATGACCAGGATGTAAAGGTGTCTTCCCGCTCAGCCTGTCACACTGCACATTGAAAGAAAAGCAACTGCTTAGTCGAACATTCACTTGGATCCAGGAATCGCTGGTCCTGGGGTTGAAATCAAGATGTGCTCTGGTTATGATCCTTGGTCTCTCAGGATCATACACATACTCTGGGGTTCCAGGTGGTTCGCAACTTGTCTAACTGTCACATGGCATGAAGGTCTTAATTTTCATGTGACAAGATACGAATCAATGATTAATCGTTATGTTTGATACACACTGTTGGGACACACAGGTTTACCCCCATTAGTTAGACATCCCATTAGCTAGACATCCCAATTGTCAGACACCGGACTAGAGATTAATTAGGGCAACATCCATATATAAATGGGAATGTCCCAATTGGAGATTTCAACCAGTTAGTTGAACCTAAGGAAAACTGTTATTGTGTATAACTATCTTGGAGTTATTTTTGATAGAAAATGTTCGTTCAAATTATCTATACTACCGGCCAAAAGAAAGTATCCAGGAAGTTCCGGCGTATGGTAGAGGTGGTGTTATGGTGTGGGGAGGATTACTAGCATGTGGTGAACTGAAAACAAGGCTAGTCATCATTCGTGGCAACCTTACTGCACAGAGGTACAGGGATGACATTCTTCCATTCAGTCACCAACAGCCACGTGGCATTGTCTGATAATGCAAGACTTCACACCGCCCGACTGACAAGAGACTACCTGAACAACATGAACGTCCATGTCTTACCATGGCCAGCATGTTCACCAGACATGAACCCTATCCAGCATTTGTGGCACCACCTCGACAGACAGACTGGCCCAGTTGTCTGAGCTGTGGCAAGCTGTTAATAGAGTTGTCTCCTTTGGTCACATCAAACGCCAATGAGTATTGATTCCAAACCTGTCTCACCTGATTTGTATGTAGATTTGTCATCACTTGACCCAGACAGTCGATTCACCAAAGTGGAAATTGTTTCAGACCTGCTTCCCCGCACACTGTAGTCCATGAAGACAATTGTTACAGACTAAGCAAAGAATATTTATGCATGGACTGATGGTTAATAACTAGACATGTCTATGTTAAGAATCTCCCTGTAAGAAAGTGAG